ATAATGGGATGCGAAAAGTGTAACTTTTTTAACATTACATCTTCATAATGAAATGGTATGAGATTCTGAAACCGGTATATGATGCAGCAATAAAGATGTCTGTATCACATACATGTACATAGATGCATAATAATAAAAAAAAGTGCAGAAAGAGTGCCTGAACACATCCTGTGTTAACGGCACAGCTGTCGCGTTTAGTTGTTGTCCTGGTCCATTGTGACGGCACTGATGGAAGCTTCTGCAGCTTATGGAGTGAAATGGAGAGCTGTGCTTCTGTGTGTGTGTGAGTTCATATGTATGTCTGTTGAGCGGTCTCAGTTTCGGTCCAGTTGCCGCTGTTCCTCCATCCCCTAACATGCCTTCAGTCTGACATCAGTGGCCTTAGAGAGAACGGCACCCTGGGTACAGTCTGTGTGTGTGTTTAAGTGTGTGTGGTCATGCTCGACTACTGCGCAGCTGAATAGACTGGCAGCTCCTGCATTAACAAACCACTGACCAAACACAAGTCTAGGCACGTGTGTGTGTGTGTGTGCGTGTGTGTGTGTGTGCGTGTGTGTGAGAGAGAGAGGGCGACAGAAAAACCACAGACTAGAGCCACAGAATCCCTTTCTTTCTTTTATTTGTCCTTCCTGTGGCACAAAAATTTTGTGACTGGTTGAAAAGAAATAGTTCAGCTATATGAAAATTGTTGACATTTGCTTCCCCATAATAGGGGTGGTGAAGGCCTTTGGTGTGAGAGACCCGGGTTCGAATCCACTGTGAGACACCAATGTGTCCCTGAGCAAGACACTTAACCCCTAGTTGCTCCAGAGGCGTGCGACCTCTGACATATATAGCAATTGTAAGTCACTTTGGATAAAAGCGTCAGCTAAATGTAAATGTAATTTGCGTTAAAGTCGCAATGGAGTCTAACTAACCCTATGCGTTGCAGTATTAAAGGGTTAGTTCGGTATTTTACACTTAAAGCCCTGTTTTAAGATAGTTTCTGATGAAATAGAACGAAATTTTAAGATTGAAATTTGGACAAATACTGCTGTCCCAAGAATTTTAGGTTTCTGTGTTTCTCCATAGCGCCCCCAACCTACACAATGGTTGTGTAGGTGCACTGGAACAATCATTCATAAAACGCATTAAACTTTAGTTTACAAAGACGTGAAACTCATGAGTGGTCTGGGGTGTTCAATGATACGCTCAAAAACACAAAAATTGCTGCAAAAGATGCTTTCCAATAGGTTTTATCGTAGTTTTTGTACCAAGTCAAGTCAATGTGGTCGGACAAAAACTACAATAAAACCTCCATATAATAACCATATAACCAAATAATAATAATAAAAATATTACCAATAATACATAAATTGTATATAGTGCGTTTAAAGAACTCAAAGACGCTTTGAAACGCAAATAAAACAAACAAACAATGATGAGAGTGCTAATTATAGATTGTAGGCGAGCTGAAACAGGTGGGTTTTGAGCAGTTTTTTGTAGGTGGTCAGTGAGTCCGAGTTTCTTGGATGGGGAGTGGGGGCAGCGATGGCGAATGCTCAGTCCCCCAAAGTTTGGTGCGTTGATTTAGTGATAGGTTTGAGAAGGCCCAAGTCGGCAGAGTGAAGGCGTCAGGAGGGGCAGGGGATGCTGTAAGAGGTCTGTAACATATGGAGGTACCAAGTTATTGAGGGCTTTGTAAGTGATGAGCAGAACTTTGTAATGGATGCGCTGTTATACAGGAAGCCAGTGAAGATGTTGAAGGACAGGGGTGATGTGGTCTCTGGAACGGGTGTGAGTGAGGAGGCGGACAGCGGAGTTTTGAACGCATTGCAGTTTTTTTTATATTAGAGGATGGGAGACCATTTAGGAGACTATTGCAGTAGTCGAGTCTTGATGTAATGAATGCATGGATGAGAGTTTCCACAGCAGATGTGAGTAGGTGGAATATTGAGTAGGTGGAAAAAGGCAGTTTTGGTGATATGATGGATATGGGGTTTAAATGTGAGTGTGGGGTCAAAAATGTAACCAAGATTTCGGATCTTGGGAAAGGTGGTAACTGTATGGCCATCGATGGAGAGAGTGAAGTCTTGGGAGGAGGGGAGGACTGATTTGGGACCAATGACGATGATTTCCGTTTTATTGCAATTGATTTTAAGGAAGTTGGCATTCATCCAGGATTTTATTGCAGAGAGGAAGGTTGTGATGGTTAATACTGTGGGAGGAGTGATGTATCTGGTACTGAGGTATAGTTTTGTGTCATCTGCATAGCTATGGAATTTTATTCCATTATTATGAATGATAAGTCCAAGATGGAAGCATGTACAGTATAAACAGAAGGGCACCTAGCACCGAGCCTTGAGAGACTCCGTGATTGAAAGGACAGGTATGGTGTGAGATGTACAGTTGTTGATGGATATGAATTGAGATCTGTTGGAAAGGTAGGAGGTGAACTAGGAAAGAGCTGAGCCAGAGAGACCAAGATGTTGTAGGCTTTGTAAAAGGATGGAGTGGTTAAAGGTGTCGAAGGCGGCAGAGAGGTCAAGTAGGAGGAGAATGGAGAGGGAACCAGAGTCAGAGGCGAGCAGGAGGTCATTTGTTACTTTGATTAGTGTAGTTTCAGTAGAGTTATGAGTGCGTAATCCAGACTGAAAGGTTTCGTAGAGCTGATTGGTGAGGGGGTGATGTTTTAGTTGAGAGGCGACCGAGCATTACAGGATTTTCGACAGGAAAGGTAGAGATGGAGTGGAAGTTATTGGGGTTGTCAGGTTTCAGGCCAGATTTTTTAAGTATTGGTGTGATGGGTGCAACTTTGTGGGAAGAATCAACTGTTCCAGGTGAGAGAGAAGTTGTTGATAGTAATGATGAGTGGGCTGAGGCAGGGGAGGCAATGCTTGACCAGTGCAGATGGAATGGGGTCCAGTGGGCAGGTTGTGAGGTGGATTTTGTTGAAGTGGTCAGTGAGATCGGTTTCTGTAATGACTGAAGAGGAGGGGAGAATGATGCGAAATGGAGTGGATGAGTCAGATTGAGGGTCTGTGCTGGGAGAAATGTTCATTGAGAGTTCTTGGTGAATGCTGTCAATTTTGTATTTAAAGAAGTTGATGAAATTATTGCATTTGTCAATGGGTTTGAGTAATGAATTAACTGTGGCCAACTGTGGGGGTTGGAGGATCCAGAGTGAATGATCCTATGCAGAATAAAAAGCTATGCAGGCTGATGTGAGCGCACAGCTTTTTATCTATCTATAATGATGTAAGCTTGTAGGTGTACAGTGAGTCCAGTTTTCTTATTGGCATTCCAGTTGTCTGCGCTCTTTTTTTAGTTCATGCAGTTCAGGAGTGAACCAGGGAGCAGAGAATGAAAATGTACAGTAACTGTTGCAGTTTTCACTGGTGCGAGAGTATTGAGGCTGAATGTGAGTATGCAATTGTAGTGAGCTACTAGCTACTAAGAAAATGAGGTGAGACAAAGGGACTTTAGATTTCGGTAAGATATGGTGCGTGTCTGCTTGAAGTGAGGGCCGGGAAGGGTTGATGCGAAATGTTATGGCGAGATGATCAGATATGGCCAGGTCTGTGTGTGAGTGTCAATATTAAGTCCAGTAGAGCAGACCAAGTCCAAAGTGTGTCCACGGGTGTGGGTGGGGAAATTGACATGTTGAATGAAGTTAAAAATGCGTACAATTAAGCATATGTCGGAAAATAATTGGTATTGATCTGAATAGCATTGAGCATACGCATAAGGTCAGAGCTACACAGAGGGCAATGGCCATTCTGGCTAACACCACTCACCCACTACACTCAGAGTTCTGCCTCCTACCATCAGGAAGGAGGTATACCTACCGAAAATGTGCCAGATCCAATAGATATTTGAAATCATTTGTACCATTAGCTGTTGGGTTTCTCAAAAAACTATAGGACATGTTTTTTTTTTTTTTTTTTATCTATTTATTATCTCATGTTTTTATCTGTTTTTGGGTAAATGTGTATGTGTTGGCTACCTGTTGTGAACTAAATTGCCCCTTGGGGACATTAAAGATATTTCAACTTCAACTTCAATGTCCAAGATATCCGTGGTGGGTTTGGAGGTGGAAGACTCGAAATGGAAATTGAAGTCACCTACTGTACGAGTAATATGGTTAATAAAGTTGTACAGAGTTGAGTTATAAATTCTGAGAAATCTGACAGGAAGGAAGGATTGGGTTTGGGAGGATGATAAATTGTTGAAAAAATCAGAGGAGTGGAGCCTAAGAGTTTAAATGAGAGGTGTTCAAAAGAGGGAACAGATGGGATTGGGTAGAGGGCGAAGCTTGAGCCGAAGCTGTCATTCCCAGTGGATATGTGTATTAAGTTTCTATGGGAGCATCTGTGGATGTAACGGTGGCATTGAAGTAGTCCAAAGGTTTTTATTACAGCGTTGAGCTCTGGAGTAGCCGATGGATAACAGTTTAGCTGGAGTAGCTGGTTAGCTGAGTACCGAAAAACCATGAAGTTGTTAGTGGAGTTTTGCAACCAAGGAGGCAGGATGGAGAGCAGAAAAAGAACTAGGACCAGGTAATGGATTGTCCAGGAGGGAGGATTGAGTCGTCTTGGGCAGGGGAAGTTAGTGTAGCCGGCCGAAAGCGTGCGTGTTAAACCGATCAATCCAGCGGCGTTGTCAACTATACAATGAATCTGTAGTCCCAAAACACAGCCGAACCAAACTGGGGCGGGTTCTTCGGTAGCAGAAATGCGCAGGCGAAAAGGTCCAGGTAAGTGCTGAGGCAGTTTTGATTCAATAAGAATTTTTTTCGGAGGGAGAAGCGGTAACCAAAACACACGGCAGCATCCTCTCCCAGCATCAGGCCAAAAGACTTCATTGCCTTCACTTCACTTTTAAAGCTGTTAGACGAATGTGCTCTCTTTAAATGTTTAATGTGTATTGGATTGAGACTGTGTGTGAGTGTGTGATTTGGGCATGTTTTTATTTTTTCCTCCTCTGTTTCCACTAATATAAATCTTTTCTCTCTTTTTCAGATACGTTCCAGTCTCTAATATCATTCTCTCAGAATCACCTGACCTCTCTGTTCGAGACCACATACTCTTCACTCATGTCGTCCATCTCGCCTCACATCGTCTGCCTCTTTACTGACCTATCTCGCTTCCTCCAGGGTACTGGCAATGTCTCCGTTGAAGCCGCTGTGCACTGTTTCTTCGACAGTCTCTTCCCATTGGTCCACACTCGTATAGTCAATCCCGGCATGGCTGCGAGCATTGACGCGGATACTTCTGACGACAACCAGCTCGGTGACTGTCTCCGCATGACGAGGCAGGACGTTAACCCCTTTGGGACGTACCCAAAAGCGATGGCAAATGAGCTTGCGGAGGCAATGCGGGCAGGTCGGGTGCTCAGCTTGGCGCTTGGCGTAGGGTCAGAGGTGATGAACATTACGGACACGGCGGAGTTATCAAAAGAGTGCACGCGTGCTCTAGTGCGCATGCAATATTGCTCTCATTGCCGTGGACTCACCCTGATCCGGGCATGCAGTGGCTACTGCCTCAACGTCATGCGCGGGTGCTTGGCCAGCCTCTCGGAGTTACACAACCCATGGAGACAGTACGTCACCGTGCTGCAGGATCTCTCACACATGGTCGCCGGAGCGCACAACCTGGAGCTTGCTTTGCTGGGGATCAGAGGTCAAGTTGAGGAGGCCATTCTCTATGCTCAACTTAATGGGCCCAGGCTAACTGCCACGGTGGGTATCAGTGTGCATAAGTTTAAATTGTATGCAAGTAGGGCTGTGAGATTACAAACATTTTATTTTCGATTTTGGCTTCCAAAGATTATGAAAACAAGATACTCAAGGGAAAACGAATATTGTGCTGCTTTACATCTAGCGAACCACCTTTTCCTTCAACCAACCATCGCAATACAAAAATGCAACATGTATCATGGATAGTTGACAATTTAGTTTATAATAATGCAATTTGTGGGTCCTGATAATGCCAAATGTCTTACCAGTAAAAGTGGCCTACATAATTTTAAATGTATCTAGTCAGTGACAGTGCAAGCATATTCATCTAAAATAATTCTGTATTTTCAGCTTCAGAATTATATTTTTATTCTGGCTTACCATTGTCCTGTACATTGGGTTTACAGCATCAAGGACAAGCCTATTCATTTCCACACCCAATGTAATACCAAATTTAGCATTTTAAGCAACAGTACATTTTTTGTTAACCTTTTACCATAGGTCTTGGTGTATCGTTATAACATCGTGAGTATCGTGAGTTTAGTACCATGATGTGCATGCGGGTATCATTACACCCCCTATTATTCATTCATTATTGTTTTATTCACAAGTTCGCACTTACATATAGGCTAATCGGAAAGCGATGATTATGCACATTTGGCGTGCTGTCATCTAGTCTGAATTTAGCTCGAAACCAGAGTGCTCCCCCATCCCTGGCTGGGATAGTAATAATCGAAAGAGAGAGGAGTTGGGGTTTGTGGGGGGATGGTGGAAAAACTGTCGTGGGGCAGTGGTAATTCAGCTATATATATACCTTGTATCGTACTTATATCGTGCTCTACTCACGTTAAATTGGTTGATTAGCTGAATGTGCTCCTTCTGAATATTAATAAAACACCGTTATGTGCTTTGTGACATGAGATAGTTTAACACCGGAAGAGGCATGGCTTTTGAAGGGAGGGTGTGTTTTAATGCTTTCAAAGCTAACTTGCTATTGCTAACCTCTCTAAAATTGCCTACCCTGCCTTTAACCTATTTAATTATTGCAGGTTTACATAATTGTCACGATACACTTAACAAAAGTGAAGGGAAGGACTCAAGTGCAGTGAAGGGATGATTTATTAACAAAATAAAACAAAACACAAAGCAAAAACCCACGAGGGGGAAAACATACTCAACAAAACATAAAACTGAACTTGAACTGAAATATCATACACTGACCATGAATAACACCGAGGAACAGGGGAGATATAAGACAAAGATCCAACACAGACTGCAAACATGAAGGAACTTAAATAGGGAACAAATCAAGAGGGAACAGGTGGGAGAACTCAAACACTAATCAGGTAACGAGGGGGAGGATCAAACAATGACAGGAGCACATGGCTCAACATAACAAAACCACCCATGTGCTAACACGACAGGACAGACACGTGACAATAATATTTTGAGTTTTCTTTTCACTGAGGAATACTGAATCTGTTTTATGCAAATGAGTTAATACATGTTTATTTTTACTCTAGAACTACAATAACCATCATTTTCAAACAGCACACACACCTCATGATTTCTCTCAACATGGGGACAGGAGAGGTGTCAGTCAATTATGGGAAAGTTAAGTAACTTGTGTTTCTTCTTTGAAAACATTAACAGAGATTTTTTTTTTTCAAATTTAAAAAGTAATGTGATACTTTCCTCATTACTTTCCTCACTACTTACAAAAAAATGTGATTTGATTACATAACTTGCTTTACTTGTTATGCATTTCCCCCAACACTTGCTTTAAGGCTGTTGTATTTCATCTTAGCAGGCTTTTTTTTTTTCAGAAAATCCGAAATCTCAGGAAAATCCTGAAAGTTCAGGCAAGGTCACTTCTGGTGCCGTGTGTCTGAACAAAGTGTCTCATAGGCTGCTGTTATCTTGTAGTGACTGAATGAGGGTTTGGAAATGGGAACTTTTTTGGCAGAATTTTGTTTGGACATTTGTCACTGACACACATACACACACATGCTCTTAGCTTTAAACTTTAAGTCCATTTATCTCACGTTAAGTCAAACTAACATTTACTCACACTTCAAAGCCACTTCATGGGATTGGAAAGACCTAGCCAAAGTGAACCCAGTCACTTTATTTTGAAATGCCTTTAAGCGTGACACTCCATTAGAATACTGGCATTATACTGTCTGCCACTGTGTTTATTTTGAAGCTGTTAAAGATTGGTTTGCTTTAAGGGCAGAATGTGATTGCTTAACTGAATTGTGATGATGGCTTTGGCTCTGTTTGAAATGGGGTACTAGTGAACTACTAACTTTGTGCAGCATGTATGTTGCCTGCTACTTATTTTTCAAAACCCGAAACCGCATAAAATGATATAAACAATAGTATGGGGAATTGTTAATGCATTGTATGTTATATTTCAGTGGCATTGAAATCTGGAAATAAACAGTGACTCTTGTTGCAGTCCAATCAAATACTATGTCAAGAAAGAGAGGTTTCAAAATCACGGCTGATATTACTTCCTGTTCATTTGTCATATGATATATGGTTATAAATGGCATTATCCTTCCTAGCAGTGGTAGCTAAAAAAAAAAGTAGACTAAATGGCGGGATATGCTAGTAGGCTAATTAGTTGGTACTATTTTAATCTTATGTTGAGGCTTACTGAGTAGCTTGCAAATGTTTAATTTGACGAATAATAGCTATACTATTACATTATATATATATATATATATATATATATATATATATATATATATATATACTGTATATATATATGAAGAGTTCAGATGCAAAAGCCTCTAAGTGCCATTTGAAATTTTCTTCTAGAATGATCATTTTTATCAAGCTTGTATATTTAAGTTCAGTGATTTCACTTAAATGGCAATGATAATTACCTATTAATTGTTATTTAAGTGAAATTACTGAACTTAAATACACAAGTTTGATAAAAATCATCATTAAAGAAGAAAATTTCAAATGGCATTTAGAGGCTTTTGCATCTGAACTCTTCATATATATATAAAACTAGAATTAAAAATGCATTGGTTGTTTATATTTTTGAAATAAATCTCTTATGCTCACCAATGCTGTGATTATTTGATTAAAAACAAAGTAAAAACAGTATTATTGTGAAAATATTATTACAATTTAAATTATTCTTTTCAATTTTAATACATTTTTAAATGTAATGTATTCCTATGATGGTAAAGCTGAATGTTCAGCATCATTAGTCCAGTCTTCAGTGTCACACGATCCTTCAGAAATCAGTCTAATATGCTCATTTTCTGCTCATTAAACATTTATTAGTATTAGTATTATTTTCATCATTATCAACAGTTGTGCTGCTCAATTATTTTGTGGAAACTGATAAAGAAAATTCAGGATCATTTGATCAATATAAAGTTCACAAAAACATTTAGCCTATTTATTTTGTTAAATGTCTTTATTATCACTTTTGTTCAATTTAATAGCCCCCCTATCATAAAGTGTACATCATAAAGTGATTTTGTAGTCTTTCTAATCAGGCACTGAAAGGATTTCTTTTACTTTCAACCAGTAAAATAGTTTTCGGTATTCCAAATTATTTGGGGGATTAGAGTAATCCTGCAATAAACGATGGAAAAAGCTTGGAGATTGTTTCTGGCAGGCCATTTCTGTTTTCCTCTGCTGCTGTGTGTAAATCTCCACTGTTTTCTTTACACTAAGCAATGAGTTCGAGAGAAAATAGTGAGACTGAAACCCACAGGTCTACCATCCTGATAACAGACTCTATTACCCACAATCCCCTGCTTGTATTATGTCCTAGTGATTTAATCTCCTGATTAAACTGTATTCAGTTCTATCAAAATAATCCATAGCATTTTTCTGCCTGTCTCATTTTTGTATTCTCCTTCCAAAGATCATAAACTGTAGACTTCTCCGCTCTCTGCAAATGTGTGTGTGAAGCTGAGATGTTATTAGAAGAATTATAGCAATGGTTTGATTTTCACTGGGATACTTTCCCAAACGGATTGCGGTTGGCATGCCGTCCCATCATGTGTGCTGCCTGAGAGGGCATGCTGAGTGTGTAGTGTGTGTGTGCGTTCTGGGATCAGGTTTTAGAGGTCTGTCGAGACACTGTAGGTGCTGACAGCGCTGGCTGCCCTCTTGCATGTCTGAAAGACTTCTATTGACCAGCACTGCAAGACTGGGACTAGGGGAAGGGAGAGAGTAAATCGAGAAGTTTTTAAAAGAGGACTGGGGTGTCTTTTGACATCTTTGTGGTCTTAGTCTGTGTGGTTTTAAATCCCTTAGATCATGTACCATGCTAGGCTGGGATACCAGCTGAACTTGGGTAATGACGTGTGTGTGTTTTGCACATTCCTGCATTATCTTTTTAAAATTCTGGACTGTCAGTGCCATTTAATTAGAGAGTGCACCTTTCTCCTGTTGTTTCTTTGTTGGGTGTAAGAGGTCTTGCATATTTATCCTTGGCCAAGATCTGTAAGACTCACAGGTAAACTGACCAACCAGGCAAAATGTATTTTTTAGATGACGTTTAGAGGCGGGTAAATCTGAAATCAAATACAACCTTAAAACCAAAGAGTAATATATACAGTAGGTGTGTGTGATCAAGGATATCATGTTTACTTGCCACTAAATCTATGTTCACCCCGCAGTAGGATTCTGCTGTCAATTCTGAAGCCTCAAATATATATATATTCCTTTGCTATAAATGGGAAAAAAGTCTAAGAGCTGAAAAGAGACTTAAAAAGACTCATTTTGTCTTTTTAAATTCTTTCCCTTCTTCCAGTGTTTTTTTTCCCCCCACATTCTGAGGGTTTTCATTGTGATTGTTGTATATTTCAACAGGTTTAAGGTCCATTAAGAATTCTAATGCTGAATGGAACGTCAGGATTTACACCGCAATGTTATTTCCCAACTGGAGATGGAAAGGGATTGTAGCCGTGAGGTCAGAGTTCACCTGAAGTGTTGTGATGTCTCAATCTTGCTAGCTTGGAAGC